TCGCCGAGTGCATTAGCGCCTGTGTAGCTTTTTCGCGACAATGGAGACAAAATAATTTTACCCTGAAATGGCGTTCATGTCAAATACACTAATTTTCTCACTCTTTGTTCTGAAAATTATTTACTTTCTAGGGAATTTTGAAATGGAAATGATGACTTTCAGCGTCTTTATATGATTTTACGACAATAACATGAGAATGCGAGAAGATAAACCTTTCGATAGTTTTGGCAACATTCTTCACTTCTTGGATTGCTCATTGCACAGAAATGCGAAAAGTTCGCTTGGGAGTGAACTGGAGAGGCATTCCAAGTGTTACTTATAGTTTTTATTTTTTCCGTCTGATGGCATCAAGCTAAGCAACGTAATAATTAAAAAGAAATAATTGTGAAATTATTACTTAGTCCGCCCCACAGGGTGGCACGAGGGGGGTCAGGGGGCTGCCTGAAATAATGCAAAACTTTATTGCAATGTAGTTCATGAGTCCGGTTCTGCTCACATGTGAATACGACACTGATAATTTAATTTTTTTGTCTTGGACTTTCAATTACCTGCGTCCTCACTCTTAGCATAACAAAATGCAACAACAGCATTTTGATGCTCGGTAGCCAACTTGTCCGTTGCGGAAGGGGGACATCGGACTTCCATGGAGAATTGTCATTTCCTCGCCTCTTCCTTTAACCTTTATTTATTTCCTCAGAATCATGCTGTTTTTCTTGTGGTGTTTCCTGAGCACATTTGCTGTCACTGACGGGTATGCCAGACATCACGTCCTAGCGAAGTCATTATGTCGGGCCCACCCATCATGAAAAACGACAAATTCCGGGCATGACAGGTACACCCGCGTAGTTTTACATTGGTTTTACGTTTAAAGCAAGATGAGTGGCTCATTATATCCTTTATTTTTTCCATTGTCTTTTTTGCTCAGTGATTGTGTGCGAAATTCATTTTCTTCGGGCTGTGTAGGTGGAAGTTGGACAAAAAAGTCTAAAGGGAAACAATGCGTGCAATACCACAAGTCCGAAGGACAAAAGGAAACTGATTACGTTCCGGTATATGCTCCTACGATTCCGGTCATTAGACCAAGCTTAGAAATCTAGAATTTTTAGAATCAAAATTTAAATGTTCATTGAAAACGGACGTGTAATAGTTTTTTTTTCTGTAACAGAAATTAAGTATTTTACTTTGTTCATAAACATCATGACCAAATGAAAATCCTCAAGTGCCGATATTCCCTCGAGTTAAGTAAAGATCAGTGGTGAGTTGTAGAATCTTTTTAGTGGTAAATTAGGTATTTCAAAATCTATATAAATAAGTGTAGTTCCAAAACAATGTGATGCATTTTGGTCGCCCAATTTTAATCAGCGACCCTAAATGGGTTCATAACATTGGGTGAGACTTGATGCGCAAAATGATTCAAAATGGCTATATTGCTTCAGGCACTTGAGAACTGGATAATTTTCACTCTATTTCTTCAAGAAATATCCTCACATCTGCTTACGGTAGAAGGGAAGAATAAATCGACCGTCTGGGATTTAAAATCCGGAAAGTAATTCTTGTAGGCGATCCATAGGGAAGTGCAAGGAGGGGTCACACAGTCACCTCCGACATATAGTTTAGCCAAAAGTCACTGCGAATGTTGCTGCTACATGGGCATTTGAGGAATCGAATGCAAACGGATGCAACTCGGAAACCGTTTGCCAGAGAAACTCGAAAATAACGTCTTCAGAAAGTTAAGATAATCTACATTCAAATGAGGGATTAAGATTCATGCTGACAGCGAACGTCAAAGGTCACAAGGCTATATTACTGGGAGTATTAGAATTTTTAGAAGTTTTCCGACCGCCATTCCAGCCACAGAACCACCACAGAAAAAAGCATGCATGCGACTTTAGAGAACCTACCGTTCGATCCGTATCCCAAATCTCATGAGTCTTGAAATTAGTATTTTTGAGGAAAATATCAAAATGTGCTTGAAATTGGGGCCAAAAACGCTATTTCGTAGGGTACTTTCTGCTTTTCTCGCCTTCATGGCAAATATCGTGAAATTTTCTAGGGTATATCGATAGGGAATAGCACCTGGTTTGCATCGACGCCTCGATCGTCTCGATATCTACAAGGGGTTCCCTCGGGAAGTTTATTCAAGGTCGTGTGGTTTTAAAGAAAAATCGCCCCCCAACTGCCCCTTGACAATACCCTCATCAATTGTGTTTTCATGAGCGTTTGCAGCTAAATATTTTCTAGCGAAACTGCTACATGTTCTGTTATTTCCTTTTATTGTCGGCACACTGCCAAAGAAAACGTTGCTACTGTTTTCTGAAGTTGATATAAAGATGCATCTTGGGTGGTGTCAAATATTGTACATATTCTCAAATAATGAGCCAAAGATGAAATTCCTAATTCTCGGGAAAGCAATTAACCTGTGCAGTTTTTCAATGCCTTTCGATAACATTTTTTAAAATAATATTTTCGGAAAGAATGTCATCTTTACGCATGAAATTTGAACCTAATGAAAATATAGACACTGAATAAACTATACCTGGGGAATCCATACAACGTGTGCTTTTCCAAATGAATGAACATTATAATTTAATATACCTCTTCTTTGCAAAAAGCAGATTGGGAATTCACTCATGAAGAACGTCATGCAGTATCACACTGTATCTTTCCCATGGATTTCTGTCACACCCATGAATGAAACACAAATCTGTAATTTTTTCTATTTTTCTTGTGAAGCAATGAGTGAAGAGGTTTCTTGACTTACTGCAGAATCCTGACTCAGCCACGAAGTTCGTGAGGCATTCGCAGGTATGATTAGAACAGCTGGCGTTGGCAACACACTCGTCCGAAACCTGACATCGCCCTCCAACTTTTACCTCTGCGCACAGAAAGAGAATAGGAAACCTCACGAGTAGAATTTTTGTATTAATAATGAAGTTGTGAGAAGACCTATTAAGAAATGTTACTTTGTTTACTACATTTACTACACTTTACTGCAGTTTTTTTATCTTCATGCAAAACTTTTTTTTGAATTTTATGTGATGATATGGAGAATCACTTTTATGCATGTCAGCCTCAATGAGGACCCATATTCTAGGCCACTTTCTATTTCCCATCCGAGGATACTACGTCACTCTGACTTTTTTGGAATTTCCAAACAGAACACATGGCAAGTTCTTGTGAAGCAATATCAGATCAAGGATCATGACTTACTGCAGAATCCTGACTCAGCCACGTAGTAATCATAGCATTCGCAAGTATGACTGGTGGTCGAACAACTGGCGTTATTAACACACTCGTCGGCCTTATGACATTCCCCTCCATCTGGTATTTCTGCACACGGAAAAAAAATAGTGAACATCCTGAGGAGTATCTTAGTATCAAATATGAAGTATTGAGAAAACTATTTTTCACATAAAATCTTCCACTTTCTTCAACATTCCTCCCAAGGCACAATAAATTTGATGTAAATATTATGTCCCAAGTTATATTCACTTTACGCAAAATTTTACTCAAATTTTGCGTTATTATGCAACCAGAAAAGTTCCTCTGTGATACGCAAGCGAAGGTGTAAAATTGATAATGTTGCATGAAATAGACAATCACTTTCATGCATAGGTCAGACTCAATGCGACCCTGTGCAGTATTCTGGGCCACTTTCTCTTTCCCATCCGAGGATACGCCGTCACTCAGAATTTTTGTACGAACATAATTTTCTAAGTGAATTCAAGATAAATTTTTGAGAAGCAATATCAGATCAAGGATTTTCACTTACTGCATAATCCTGCTTCAGCCACAAGGTTATAGAGGCAATTGCACGTATGATTGTAGGTCAAACAACCGGCCTGATCAACACAGTCGTCCGAATTATGACAATGATCTCCAACTGGTATATCTGCGCACAGAAAGAAAATATGAAAATCCCAAGCAGCACGTTTATATTAAATACGAGTATATTTGCCCTTCAGGCAAATATACCCCCTATAACCATGCCTTCGGCGCTCTATTTTCTAGGATGGTGATGAATCCATTTGAAATATCCGTTTTGACCAATTTGGTAAAACTCCTGAGGTCGTATTTATTTCTGTCAAGTTATATCTCGGTATGTGACATTATTGGCTAAATAGGAAACGGAGATCTTTAGCTTCCTAAAATAGTCGTGGTGAGAGGTATTTTGAATTGTATTTCATCTATCAATACCGGCTTGATTCGTTTTAAGGGTTGAAATTTCTTGGAAACCTGCTGCATAAAAATATATCTGCCACGTTGAAATGAAAAACAAGAATTTCCATTGAATAATCTTTTGCAGAAAATATTCAAAGGAATTTCATTTTCTGTCTCCCTCATTACTGAAAAAAAATTATGTGAAATATCACCCCAGAAAGGGTGCTTTGAAAGGAAATATTCGAATGGAGAGTTCTTTTCTAAATATGCTCCTTGATTGGTCCCATTGTGCCTAAGTTTAAGATTTTGTCTCTCCGTATTGGGAGAGTGAAAATTTTCGGAAATACCTGTGTTTAAGAAAAATAAGGTCCCTGTTGGGATATGTTACAAAAAGAATTGCCTAAACTCAGTACCCCAGGAACGGCTGGATCACCAAATATCAGTTATCTGTTACTCCACTTCGGTGCTTCTTACAGCGAATATGTATTTGGTAGAAAATTCTCTTTAAAAAAAGTCCTTTGGAATAAAAGTCCCATCTGAAAACGTTACTAATAATAGTATCGAGAGAAGTATTTGTGAAAATACACGGTATTATTTATTACTGAAATCATTACTCCGATGACTTCCTATGCGCCTAAACCGGCTGCTAAACCGGCTCCACACCCGAAGTCAAAATTGTGCGTTCTTACTTTGGGCCATATATATATAGGCTATACTTCGTTGAAGTACTTCTTGACGTAATTCAGGCCCTATCGGACTCTCCACCGCGTGGAGAGATCCTGCTTCAACGAGTTCCGCATGCATTCTCCCCGGTCAACTCATCGTAAACTCATTCGTAGTTGGGTCGTTTCGCCTCAAATCGTCTCTGCACTCCAGCTGATGTCTTGACCGTCCGGGTTGAGACTCCTGCCAGGTACGATAACCTGGACATGGACTTCGGTATTTGCATTTGAGCAACGAGACAAACATTCAGAGCGACAATTGAAAAATGCCATCAAGAGGCGGCAACAGCTTCCTTGAAGATCTGTCTTAGATTTCTATTCCATCCGCCGGATTTCCCTACGCACATTGGACCCTTCAGAAAAAGCAGAAGTTCCTGGGATGATCGCGAAGTCACCACGGCCATCTCAGCAGACGGAGCATCACGACGCTCCGTCGGCATGGAATCGAGTCGGTTTGGGAAAGAAAAGAGGACATTTGCCGAGTCGTCTCTACTGGTTCTCCTGTCCATTTGATTCGACGATAAAAAATACGAGGGGCGCTCGGAAAGTTCTTGAAACTGGTCCATAACTTGCTTAGCGGTAAACTCCAGGTGACATGGCATTGCTTATCACGGGGCTTAGTGTCTTGGCTTTACTTGCATGCGGTTTTTGAATGAGGTGCAAGTTGCATGCATCAGACAGTCACAATCATCTCGATCATGTCTGCTTCTTTGCCTGAGACTGACAGCCATTGTGAGATTCTACGTTTAGGTACGTTACCAACTGGGTGAAAATGCAACCTAAATCCACGGAGATCTCACATCTGTCTTGGGGGGGGGGGGCGCTGCTCCTTCATATAGTTTCCACAGAAATTGTACATTATCAAACTTCAACTTGTGCAGATTCATAATATCACCATAAAAAGTTTAAATTATAAAAAATAATGACTAATTTGTTATCAATGTCCCTAACCTGTTGTCCTTGGCAACCACTTTGATTGCAATTTTCTTTTTACAGTGGTTTTCAGCTGACAGATGCTGCTCTGAACAGCATAATTTAAATTTTCATGTAATACACCTATATCCTTCACCTTTGGCTGAGAGCTACCTGAAGTGTTCCCCCAAGGAATGATGGTGGCTTTTTTCGTTTACCTTTAGCACTTTTTAGTGCCATTGAATACTCCATACAGTACCAATACACTACCAATCAGGTCACTAAAATCGCTAAAAATTTAGAAAAAAAATCATAAAAAAGCCAATTTCTTAAAAATCTGTTTCCCTTAAAACATTTGTAAGGATTCAAACTACAAAACTTGTTAATTCCATCAAATATATGTGAACCATCAGTGAGAATTACTGTTTGAAAATAGTTAATTTTTTGGCATTTTATTTTGGACCTGATTGCCATAATTTATTTGAATTATCTCAATAAATGCAATATTTGCCCAATTCTCTTTCATATAGTCAGTTGGTTTCTGGGAAGGAAGAGATATGGAAAAAGTTGCCTTAATGTAGGTCTGCTACCTTAAATCATTAGTAACGGACCTCAGAACCCAGACTGATAGTGGGTGCAATCGATTGAGAGATATTACCAAGCACATAATGAGTCAAAACTAGGACCCAAGCCATGACTGACAACATCATCATCCACGCAACAGACCAGTCACATTCACTGACAATGGAATGAATGAAGCCTTGCTGAACCATACTTAATATATTATGCAATGTTTTTTCACCTAGAATGAAAGAACTAGTGGCAACTTGGTCAACTGTTCATTAACTCAGATGAATGTTGACCTGCAATAATTTAACCCATGGTAGTCTGGATCAACAGTTCACTGTTCCTGTACTTACCCTTTTGCACATCTGATTCACCTCTAAAACTTGGAGCTCAAGCATTCTCAGAAGAGTCAGCTGACTCAATGCTCTCCTCCTCCACACTCACATTCAACACAGGAACCTGAAAATATGAATTAGACTGAATGAGTACTATCATACATTATGCAATATATACAAGATTATGCTAGCATTTTAGAAATATGAACAATTCAATTTAAGCTCTAAGTTTGAATGAGAAGCCTAAGGTACCGCGTTATTGAAAATTGGCTTCAGATCAGTTGCAGATGAGCTATTAAGAGGCCTGGATCATTGGATCACTGGCACACATTGGAGCAGACATTGTTTTCTTCTGTGATGAATAATGGATGAAGCAGCAATATAGCCAACACTTCTTTATGTATTAGATTTGACTAATTTCCTGCAAAAAAACTGTGGGAGTACTTCACCTTCACTTGGCTGAATTTTTACTTTGACAGCAAGAATGCATGTCAATGGCCAGTGAACTTTTCGCCAGCTTTGATTTCACCAAGAGCATTCAGGCAGTCTTTGAATTTTTAATAAAATGATACCCCAGGTTTCAGCAGGTCAATTCCCATTCAAGTGATGAAATATCTTATACCATGACCTTCAATGCCTACACAGATCAGCACCCTAAGAAAAAAAAATCAGTATAAATTTTCCATTCATAAACTTCTATAGTTTTCTTCTGATTATCATGGAATATCAATGCTGAAACAGCAGACATCCCAGGCAAGTAATATGTTTTGTACCATATTCCAGACTATACACACTACATTGAAGCAGGTACTTAAATGTACAGCTGGTTGAAATGGGAAGGTTTATCCATGGGGATCATGGTTATTTGAGTTTGCATAGTGTTGGCTGCCAATTGGTTGATGCCGAAATTGAAGCCTTCAATTTCGTCATTCTTCCCTTTAGGAGTCAATGTGGACTCAACATTTTAGAAAAAAAATTTACATTGAATAAACCAGTACAAGAGCATTATATCCATGGATCGCTGGAAATACCAACAGCTTCGGATAATCTGTTGGCATTTTGCTAACTGCTTACGTTGGCCCTGCAGTCACCTTCACATAGGGCCTACGTGAGCGAATAATTTATGTGCTCCAACGTTTAAAGGTGACCATAGGCTCATCAAAACCATTATCAAAGTTGTTCCGGCTTAGACATGCAGGGAATTTTTGGGACAAAACGTTAGGCTCTGGATCTAGTAAGAATTGTACATATGGTTTTGGAAAGTGCAGAAGCATGAGCCTAACGCTGCAAACGAGACAATTTGAAGTACAAACGTCGATACGTCACGTCCGCAACGTGCGTGTGAATGCCACGTGAGAATCGTGTCGACCACGCTGCCATCAGCCCCACTGGCAAGGCGCTAGCTCTTTGCGGACATGACGTCACAAAAAGGACTAGGGATTTTGCCGCTCGTCCTAGAGAGCCGCCGGTGGCCCAGCACGGTTGGGGAGGCTTCTCCATTAGCGTAGACTCGCTATGGTCCCGAGCCTCCAGCCGGCTAAATCAGTGGGCACGGTGTGTACCACGAACCGCGAGCCGGACGGAATAGTGGACTAGTGAGGCCGTTCCGAGCCAAAAGTCAGACCGGACCCGGGTCGGCGGACAGTAGCCAACGGATAAGACCGTCAACGAATCTGGACGAGTTGTGCGCGAGACCCCCTACGAACGTGAAACTGTTTCTCCCTCCATACTTTCCCCGTTGATTGTCTAATAGATCATGCGCAGTTGTTAACGTTGATTTAAGGACGTACCTTCCTTCCCTACTAGGAGTCAGCAGATCAGAAGAGAGACGCTTCTACCTTGCTTAATTACCTTCCCAAGAACACGCAACCTTTCTGATCATTAACCGACCACCCCGGATCCGATCCCCATAGGTAGCGAGCAGTCTTGCGACGTGTCCTGTGACCTCCTCGGGTTCGCTACAGCGCAGCATAATCGGCCGCTTACGTGGACCGGCCATTAAATACTGTCTTGTTTTGCAGTGTTTCTTCCCTTCCTCCCCCGTCTAGACGTGGATTCCTCAAGGGGGAATGCTCACCCTCATTTAGATGCCTCCTGGTTTCAAAGAATGCAACCAGACCGTTATAATGGGACTCTATGGCGCCGACGTTTTGCTCGATTTGTATGAAAACGCGCCCAATATAGGAAGTGCCGCTTGGTGCATTGGCTCGGGATGAAAATCTCATTGGGTTGGTCTCATGGTTTTGTGCTCGATCTTGCCTTTTTTAAGGTACTCGTATTAAGTACTGACCAGTGCTTGATGATGTGCTTGGTACTTCACTAAATGGATGGAGCTTCAAGACCGTAACTCAATGATATATTGTTTATGAAGATGAGAGAGAGCACTTTTTTGCAAGAGAGCGTGTTTCAATTTTCAGGCTGGAAATTTAGGACCGAGTGTGCTTTACCTGATGCTGATTTACCTGATGCTGATTAGAGAGCTCCTGTGGATCCCATTTCACCAAAAAGGCTCAATATTAAGCTCTCATTTTCTGTCAACATTAACAGCCTGCACAAATTCCTTCATGGCTCGCAATGCACAAGGCAAGATCACTAATGCCACTCCTTCTTCTAAAGAAAACGTTGCCAACCAAGCGAATCGTTCTGCTTTTCGTTGTGCTGAATAGTCCCTGACCTTGCACGATCACCCGAGCAAATCTCCGCCTCTTGGACATTTACCTGATGAGAGCAGAAACAGAGGCCATGAACGCAGTTGCTTACAACGGGCGTTAGTGTTTCTGATAATGATAATCATAGATGAGAGTCGTTTTCCAAAATTTCTTCACCTCGCCCAAATGACGACTACTTTAATTGCATCGACATATATCCGTGACCTTCTCCGTCTCCGATAAACAAGGTCTGTTAAGCAAATAAAAAACTTGAGGGCTTGTTTATTCATTTAAATTTACAAATGATTCATAATTGAGCAGCCCTCGAGACGGAAGTTGCATGCAAGCTCAAAAAGTTTGAGCATCCCTGGACTGCGTGAATGCGTTTCGGGCATCACTGGGAGGGAAGATTCCGTGGGCCGGCGGTAGAGGGCGTTCGAGGCGTTTATTGCATGGCTATTGCAAGGCTTTTTTTCCATCGGTATGCAAGCGATAGGTGTCGACAGTCGATAGGGCCTCTTAATGAACGACAGGGGGAGTTGATTGCAAGTAATGAAGATGATTAACGAGTTCTTCGCTTCCGTTTTCACCGTCGAATCCGACCAAGCCCCGACTTCGGAGGTGACCTCGTATGATAGGTAAGTTAACGTTAAAGTTAAGTAATGCGACCGGCCCCAATGGGATTCCTGCGAGAGTCGTGGAGGAACTCGCGGGAGAAATATCGGTTCCATTAAGAATCATATTTGAAAGCAGC